TGGGCCAGTGGTGGGGCTGCAGGCAGGTCATGTGATTCTCAGAGCCTCCATGCTTCTCCTTGGGGAAATGGGGGAAAGTATTGCCCCCTGCACCCCCGGCTTGCAGGAAGCAAGGACAAGTTAATCCAGGCACAGTCTCCTGGGGCTCAGCATCGTGGCTCTCACTACTGGAAATTTCTGCTCCCAGAACGCAGCGCCTCTTCATTTTGTTTTTTGGTATCTTTTGATGTCGTTTTAAATTTTTAACGTAGTCAAACACCAGGCTTCTCTTTTATGGTTCGTGCCTTCCGTGCCTTTAAGACGTTCTTTCTAACCCAAGGTCACTGATAGAGTCTCCAATATTTTTTTCCCCAGACATTTTAAAGTTTTGTTCTTCGCATTGAAGTTCTGAATTCTTTGGTGCGGATTTTGGTGAATAATGTACAGTTAGGAGTTCAGCGATCTATTTATTCACTTCCAGCAGCGTTCAGAAATATTGAATCGAGAAGCCCACCTCTCCCACCGGTGCGGTGTAACTGCTGTCACTTACTAGGTTCGCGTACACACAGGGTCTAGTTAGGACTCTCTTTTCTGTCCCTGGGGTCTCTGTGTATCCCCGAACTCTGACCCCATGGCAATGATGATTGCTTTATAGTAAGTACTGAGGTTTCCAAAATCATTAGTCTGCTTCAGAAATGCTAGGCACGTGTGCTTGCATGCCCGGCATCCCAGGGGGAGAGAGGAGGAGAGAGGATTGCAGTCCAGCCATTCTATCTGGGGGGCGATTTCTCACATTCCTTCTCTCATTGTCTCTCTCCAGGGAGCGCACGTGCCCTATGGCAAAACAACAGCAGAAGAGAATAGATTTAAAAAAAAATCTCTTTACACCTCCATTTAGAAGCATCCCTTCCAATTCGTTTTTATAAATAATTACGAATTAATTAATTATTATTATTGGAATTTGCTAAGAGAGACAGAGAGAGAGGAAGAGAGGGGAAGTGAGAAAGCACCCCCTGGGACATGGCCACCCTGCAGTCCCTTCACCATTCTCCTCTAGGGACTTGAACTGTGCCCTCAGAATGTGGGAGCCAGCTGTCCCTCTTGCTCCGTTGTCTCACTTTCTCTCTCCATCTCTCTGCTTCTTGCTCCTCTCCTTGTCTCTCCTCTTCCTCTTGTCTCGTCATCTCTCCGTCTCTCGGTCTCTATCTTTCCGTCTGGCTGTCCTCGCAGCTCTCTGTCCCCTTCCTCTCCATCCTGGGCAGGGTGCGCTCTCCTCTTTCAGCACTTCTCCCTCCCGCCACCAGGTGGCAGCGAAGCGCCGCGCTCGGGGCTCCCGCGCGGATTCGGGCGCCGTCGGCAGCCGGGACAGCAGACGCGGCGGGGGCCGGGGGCTCTTTTTCTCCGCCGCCCGGAAAACCG